TCATTGAAATTAAACACCAAATAAAATCGTCCCAAAAAATGTGAGATATCAAAATAAATTTAATTCTACATGGAATTTTTCTAACGTAGTCGACAAACTAAGAGAACGTTCTTATATAATTCAGGAAGATAATGGTACTTCAGTAACACATAACCGTAGGTTTATCAAAACTGTGCCAAATAACAGTGAAGATGATGAAGAAAATAGATAAGTCACTGAAAACAATAACAGTGACTTTAATAATGATTCTGATGATGATTTGGACAGCATTTGACAACACTTTGTATGAGGTAACTGAATGAACAAAGTTTGATTGAAGGACAGAAACTCTATTAGTACGAAATACTAATGTATTGTGTAAATTTGTTTTGGTAATTTACAAAAAATGAGGAGTCATTAATGTATCTATTTGTATTTCGGATTATGAGAGTGCTTCTTTAACAACCATCAATTAAATATAAAAAGTTCTGATAAAAACCATTAACACTTCTTGAATATTTGAATATGACAAATACCTGAACGACAGCCTTTCTTTTATGATGCATTCAAAAAACACTTTGTGAGATTTTCACTAAAAAGTTTTATAAAAACGCAACACGTATTTCTCCATACAATGACTTCTTCGGGCGTGTCTTTAGTAACTATATTCTACGTATGCAATGCTTACTACCTGAGTTTGTAATGAATTAAATTACCTGTGCTTATAGCCCAGTTTCCACAATTGAAAAAATATTAAGTGACGAGGAGTCATTCAATTATAATTGATCATTCAGTAAATCAACTGAATTCTTGAATCCATTGATTTCTTAACAATGAAGAAAATTGAGTTTCAAACTTTACTCTTATTTATGATTGAATTCATGTCCTTCTGCTTCTGGTTTGCGAATGTGAAATTGGTCTTTCTATTCACGAAACTACTTCTATGCTATCCAATTCTTTAACAAAATGTTCTTCTTGTTTGGTCAATATACAGTTTTGGACACGAGCCACAAGTCAGGTTATATACTCCTGATCTATCCGACACCAAAGTTTTGTATTTATTGAGTGTCGGATAGATCAAGAGTATATAAGATGACTTGTGATTCTTGCCCAAAAATGTATAATGACCAAACATTTTCCCAAAGAATTCAAGAGAAAAAAGGTAGTTTAGTAAATAGAAAAACCAATTCCACATTTGCAAATCACCTTTTGGTAAAATGACATGAATTCAATCATGAATACGACGTGTTATATTCAGAAGAGAAAAGTTTGAAACACAATCTTCTAGAATGTTCGGAAATCAATAGATTCAAGAATTCGGGTAATTTACTGAATGATCAGTTAGAATTGAATAACTTCTTGTCACTAAATATTTTTTCAAATGTGGAAACTGGCACAGTAACTCAGATGATTTAATTCATTACAAACTCAGATACTTGAAATGTTGATACTTCAAATCGTAAAATTAGGTATGTTAAGCATTGAATGTGTAGAATATGTTAGTAAAAACACGTCCGAAGAAGCCAATGTATGGCGAAACACGTGTTGCGTTTTTGTAAAACTGTTTAGTGAAAATCTCACAATAAAGTGTTTTTCAAATATGTTAGTTACGGATTTTCATCAAGTATCGGCCAATTCCATCATATACCTTTATTTTATTTCTTGAAAACACAACCGTATGCTTCTCAATAGACTGACTTTTACTTGAACTTCTGATTTTGTATAAATTTCTTGATGATGTAATGTAATGTTCATTGTTGTTCAGAAAATAAAAATATTAAACCATTTTTTAAACATTCAGGAAGATCATCAATCAAAGAAAACAAAATCCGGGTGGTGGGCCGTATGATCGGTTGAAACGTGAAGTATCAAACGTTTCGTGTGATACTGCGGCAGATATTATTAGTCATATGTGCTGAGACATCGAGGTATAACCTTCGTCTAGTAACAAACGGAAAATTTGGTACATCAACTTCCATTCGAGGGCAACCTACCAACCCGGATTTTGTTCTCACTAATCGTGACTCCCGCCTATGTACTTATATTGATCATCAATAACCCCAATTTTTTTAAATCTGCATATCAAATTTAAAGTTTTGATGTTTCTCGTAGTTTTGTTTCGAATGAAATTGTTTGTAATATTCATATTTTTTTTCTGAAGACTTCTGAGGGTTGATTGCAAATGGACAGCTAGTTGGTACGAAAAACTGTGAATAAGACAACGGATACATCGTTTCTTTATAAAAATAGTGAAAACAGAATATGTCAATGGATGGGTGGGTTTAGGGTAGATAAAATGTACTATCCGATAAGCAGCTCATATCCGAACGGTAACCCTTGTTCGAGCAGAGGGTAAACAAGGTCTGTTTTCTTAACGTTGTGTTTCTTAGCATGTTTCATTTTCACATATTGAACTGTCTCCAAATCATATCGAAGTATAGCCAAATCATTTACTCCTTAATTCAATATAGTGTCTGCAGAATTGAAATGTTATGATATTCAGGTGACTTAGGTTAGGTTGAGTGAGGTTATTTTTTTATTGATATAACTTGAATATAATTGCTATGATTATTTGTGATTGTGGAGTACTCTCAGGGTTATCATCTATACATTTATCTTCATTATCCTACTTTGGTGTGAAATTGAAATATGTTCAACCCTATGTTAAGTATGGAAGAACAAATCAATTTTCAATGAAAATATATTTATTTATATACTAACCCGTTACTCAAATAGCACCATCCATCTTGATATAAAACAATTTTCGCACTATGAACGCAGTAGTTTTTTCTGTTGAACTGATATATTGAATTATTCTAAAATTGATTTTATACAACAGTGGGCAGTATCAGAAATGGATTGATTATCGATAATTAGCTCTAGGAAACCGGGTGGATTTTAAGAGAAATAATAAAAATGCAATATCAAATAAAGGTAGGCAGATACATTTTCATCAATAAGTGGATGAATATGAAAACATAAGCTTTCACGGATTCTGTCAGGAATACCGTGAACCAAATCCGGGCTGGTAGGTCGAGATCGACTTTAATCGTGGTTGGAGTGGTTGAAAACTAGTTATTTTTATTGATTTCCAGGGATTTCGGCAGGTTTGATTTATGTCTTTTCATTTTGTTTATGTAATGTAGTTCATGTGGAAATCATATTCGTTAAAACTGGAAAGCATTGGTGAAATTAAGTCAGTTTTTCTGCATTTTATAATACAAAAGAAGTCTGGCAATAATCCTGCCTGACCGAGATGAAAAATTTAGGATTGTGGTTTGATCTAGCTCTAATTAACATGTCAGCTATCTGAACCAAACTTTCTATAATGTTCACAGGCAGCTGTTTCCAAATCGTGATTTGCTCAACACAAACTTCAAACTTAGACTATGCGATCACTGATCATGTCAAAAATTTCTTACTGCGACAGTATTTATGCTCCTACTTCAAGACAACCGAATGCTCTTCGACTATAGCGTATTCAGAATAGCTGTCTACATTTCTCGTTTGGTATCCAGAAATATGACCATATATTCTCAGCCATGCAAGAATCGAGATGTAGAAAAGTTGAGAAACTTAGAACACTTTATACACTCACAAACTCAGGTGAAGTTTCGATGTTTCCTCAACATGATTACTCACTGAAGAAGCTCATAAAATTCTCAACAATTCATAGATTCATCACACGGAACAGCTTATTCATCTCCAAAAACAAATCTTCCATCTTCACTTGCTGCTTCTCGTTTAATGCACCTAAACATTTTGATCAATCACCCTGTGATTTTCGAACTTTTACAATGAAAACTGAAGATTTACTAACCTGTCTATTCTCTTATTCGTCCTCGAACTTGGCAATACAAAAAGGAATTTCTTAACTAATTTCTTGTCATTATAGTATCACTTGTGATGCACTGTTTGGAATGTTTGGTGTAGTAATGAATATTACTGGAGTTTTATCCCAACACCCAACCGTTATTTCAACACTTCCACACGTGTTCCAATCACCAAATGATCATCTTCAAGAGGAACATTAAACTAGATTGTTTAGTTCACAGTATCACTGTTAAGTCGACTTTTTTTTGTTATTTTCAGGTCAGGTTAAAAAACAGCTTTGGATGATACTTCGCCTATTCACCTTTCTGCTGATTTTTCCTTTATCTTTTTTGTCTGTTTGAATTATACTTTCTATGGTGAATAAAGACGTAATATTATTAACATTATAACTACGATTTTGACACGAACTACGGAAAATGAAGTACGAAAAGTGATCCTCAGAAATCAAAAAACGAAAACAATCAGGTACTTTATTAAACGACCAAAAATAAGGAAATATTCGTAACCAGTTTCATTAAATATTACTGGAGTTTTTTCCCAACACCAAACTGTTATTTCAACACCTCGACACGTGTTTCGATCGCCAAGTGATCATCTTCAAGAGGAAGATCAAACTAAAACTAGCAGTTTGGTGTGAGGAAAAAACTCCACCGTGTTAGGAATCACACGTTAAAAGGTAAGACCTCGTTAATCCTTAGCTCGCACAAGTTTCGACTTTTGTGGGTTGTCGTTCGTAGAGGTGCGACAGCTGGTTAACGGAAAAACAGATTTTGAACAGATTTGAACAGATATTCATTACCACACCAAAGTTTCCAACAGTGCATCACAATCACTTTTATTGTCCCAAATTTGCCTATTTACCCCGAATTAAGGCATTGTAATTATATTTTCCTTGAATCACCTGTTTTCCTAGAATTATTCATCGATGAGTGATTGAGTTCTGTAACTACTATTATATTAAATGCATTGTGTTCAATAGTTTAGTGTACTACTTCAACTGAAAAAACTACTACGTAGTGGAACATGAATGAGTTCATAGTGTGAAAATTGTTTAAAAAATATCATTGATTCTTTTTCCAGATAACCATGGAAACACTCATGGTATCAGATTTTTCCTCATATCAAGTGTTTTTAACTCTTCAATTCAAAAAGGTCATCAAATATATATACTCGTACCATTGTTTCAGCAAACTATCGGCTTTTTCATCAAAAATTTCAAAGGCAAGGTGAGAAATTAATTTTACGTATTGAAGTGTTTCGTTATTTATCACTTTGGTACACAGACGACTTAGTCAGAAGGCCGTATCTGAACCAAGGTCTACCAGGTGGTATAAATAACTGTCGAGTAAAGAGATTATTGAAAATGAATTGGAATGATAACTAAATTGATGTTTTTGTTTCAGAGGTCGTCGAAACCATGAATCACTCAAACTAGTTGAACCTGTCACTTGGAAAGTTGGGTAGGTGAGATGGGCACATGTTTGAATATAGTATCTGACATCTCTCGTCATACTTTTCCAATGATATCCCCCATTATTGCCATCTTGCTGTCCTGAAAAGGAAAAGTCATGGCATAATTTTTGAAATTCACCTCACCATTTTCATTTGCTTCCTTAGATACTCACACCATCCTCTACATTCTCCAGATTGATAATGATCAAATCACACCAAAAATAGTCTATTGCTGAAAGGTTGAACAAACACCTCAAACAGTGCATCTGGGTCATTCATCTATCAGTTTTGTGATTACTTCAATAATAATAATAATAATGAATTTACTTTATTCCAAAGAAGGGGTGGAGGGCCATCAGAGCTGTTTTCCAACTCAACCTCTTCATGATCTCAACAATACACAATACCATCACAAATTCAATAATTTGAATCAAAAACGAATAATATTCCTATTAATAAAATGCACAATATTGTTAAGATTAGTAATCAATATCGATGAATATTATAAAAAAAAAAAACATATATAGTACCAGAAGCCTATCACTAGCAGAGAGAATAATTTCTATATCAAAACTCTTGTCTTCTCTCACGATGATCATATAGATCGATATAACCGGCTCATAATAATGATAATAAGCAGGATTGGCCACCAAAACCCTTGGCCTTTGATAAGTTGCGCCACTACTTACCGAGCAACTGGAGCAAAACCGGACCGGCAACCCGAGCGCAGCCGGAAAGAACACTATTCTCCCTCCGGTGGCGGCCGAGAAAATAGTGAGATTAATTGAACAACTGATACCTCTCTGGCGAACTCACTCCACCATAACATCTGGTCAAACCAGAGTCCAAACAGAGTTGGTCACTTCCAGAAGGGGTATATTGCAGGGCGATTCCCTCAGTCCCCTTCTCTTCTGTCCCCTCAGTACCCTTCTCTTGCCGGGTGGCAATAGTGAGATGCAGACACCCGGTATAGTAGGACGTGTTCACGAATACTTTATTTTCTCAAAATGGTTTAGACTTTCACGGCTGAGGTTTTCAGTGTCATTGCTTTTCGAGTTTGAAAGGAATTTCTTCCTTTTTCTGATCAAGGATCAGGAATAGGTTGATATATTTTTTTCAATTTCTTGACTGAATCTCCACATTCACGACTTCAAAAATGTTTGTATGTTTTTCTTTCTATTTCTTCAGTAGTCAAACAATTTAACTTCTGGAAATATTGGTCAGAGTAATTAAACACTGAAGTGATTCATTATCAGAATTTCTTTCATTAATACTTTCTGAACATTTCCAACAAATAGAACATTTCCTAACCGCGTCAATAGATGAAGCAGTGGCTGACTACCTATTCAAAGACATACCAAGTTATTCAGGAAACACTTCTTTGTGAGATATTTACTATACAATGCCGAAAGCTATACAATACACAGTAGCTCAACAATATACAATAGCTAAACAATAGCTGCTTCAGGCATGCCTGAAGAAGCTATTTTATAGCGAAATAAGTGTTGCGGTTTTGTAAACTGTGTAGTGAAAATATCACAATGAAGTGTTTTTGTATACGTTATGGATTTTCCACAACCATCGACCGATTCCATATTGAGTTACCTCTCAACAACAAACAGTAGTTGCCTGTAGATGCCACCTTTCTTTCAATTTATTGTTATATATAATTCAATATATTCAGTTCGTGCCTGAAAGTTACTTCTTTGCATGATCTACACATCCATGTATAGAGTTACTCATTTTCAAATTGATTACTTCCTTCCTGTCTTTGGAAGATTCCCTATTTTTTTTGTATCGAGATGGAGTAGTAGAAAGCCAAAAACTTTCTTTCCCAAAAATTCTTATCACGTTTATGAACTACGTGATTACTTTTTGTGTGCATGGTTTTGTTCTCTGTACCTTGCTTGAAGTTCATTTGCCAAGATGTGCTGGTGATCAAATATACAAAAATTAAGAATAGCATCGATAGCTGCCTGAAAATACCAAGCTTTCGATGACAAGATATCTGAGTACGAGCTGAGAAGATTTTCAACATTGCACGTTCAATTCCCACTCACCTCAAACAAATCCCTATTCCAAAAAGCATGATATACAAATATAAAAAGATTTGGGCCTTATACTTCTTTACATTCATACAAAAATGTAGGAATTTTCAAAGAAAAGAAGAAAGTAATCAATTTCAAAAAATTCACTATACAAAGACGAAAGTTGTTTCGAAAGTGATTCAATGTTTGTTTGAAAATAGTTGTTTCGAGAAGACTTTTACTTCCAGTTTGTATCTGAAAGTTACTCCTTTGCATAATTTACATATTAGAGTCAATTTTTTGAAATTGATTGCTTTCTTCCTTTGAAGATTTCCACAGTTTTTTGTATGAAGACGGAGAAGTAGCAAGCCAAAACCTTTATTTCCCAAAAAATCTCTCCTAAAAAATACTCCTTTCAATTCATACAAATGTGACTTCAACAATAGTATAATCACGTTTAATGACCCTAGAATTCTTATTTTCTTCAATTGCACATATGTATAGTACTTTTGTTTAAATCATTAGGGCGATTTCAAATTCTTTTATAATTGAAACACAATGTTTTTCTGCAAAAAATATAACATTTGGTACTTCTCAATGAAAAAATCAATGAGGCCCTATTAAAATACTTCAATTGAGTTTTTGGATTTGAATGAGTGTAAAAATACCTAGTACTACTCTGCTAGACTGAACAATATCAGTGATAATAATGATGAACATTCAACATATATATTATTCGAAATATAAAAATGTTCACCTCATTCTATCTGACACTATGTTTATGCATACAGGAAAAACAAATTATTCATTTTTACAGATCAACTACCCCAAAAAGCTGGATTTAGCCGTTAATATCTAGTTTCTTGAAAATTGTTACTTCGAGTAACAGCTGCCGCTTTCTCACTCCAGGAGATACTAGAAAGAAGCAATATGTGAAGATGTCCACTCCAATTAGTGCTAGTTAATGAATATATTATGAATAAATGGATACTGTAACAAGGTGACTGCTGATCTCATTAGAATTCAAACACGCATCAACAGTATTATCAGTTCATAAAAGCATCTCCTTCGTTCCGGGAAGTAAATCAATAATTGAAATCACGGACTTTCATTCACTTTGGCGAGTTTACTAACTGAATCTTTACCATGTGTTCATTTTTATAAGTTATTGATAGTTATTGTTTTTTGACCATATAATTCATGAATAAAAAAATAAACCAGTATCAAAAGGTGTTTAGAGGTTGGTGAACAGTGGAATATACCCTACAAAAGTAGTTTTTGAAATCATAAGAGGCTATGTTCGAAGGCCAAATTCCACTCTAATGTTGTAGGGTGGCAGAAGACATTAGAAGAGAATTGGATAAATATGATATTTGGGAAACTGATTATCTAAAAAAATTTCCGCAAATTTTAAATTCATTTTTTCTCTTCCCTATTACTTCGTGAAAAGTTTCAACTATAATCATAAACTTTTGGAAATCTAACTGTTTCGATACATACGGACTAAACAGCAAGATACTATATGAGATGTATGATTTATTATCAGAGCTCCTACCAATCTGATTAATCTATGTTTTTCATTCGGAACCTTCACGTATGTACTTAATATAGCAAACGTTATTCCTATCTATAAGACCGAAGACAGAGACTTACCTTTGAACTACTTACCAATATCAATAATATCTTTAATAAAATCGTGAATGTTAGATATATCTTATATGGACAAACACAAACTTTTAAACCAAAAACAGTTGTAAATTCAAAGTTCAAGCAGTTGAGGAATTGGTTGGGAAATAATAGACGGTTTTGAGGAGGATTGGGTTAGTGCAGTAACTATGTGTGACCTAAGCTAGGTGTTCGACTGTGTCTCCTGCGAATTTCTCTTGCAAAAACTTGAATACTACGGCATTCGAAGTATCAAATTGAATTTTTCCAAGTCATATCTCACAAACAGAAAACGAGCGGTTAACTGTAATGAATATGAATCTGGTTTTCGAATGGTCGAATACAGAGTGCCTTAAGGCTCTATCTTAGGACTTTCTCGGATCATAATATATGTAATTATTATGTTTTTTAATCCACAGTCTTCCTTACGCATTATGCTCACTAACGAAGTATCACTATTCGAATCAATTGATGATGAAGGCCTCTGGAAGATTTTGTTTCATGTCAGTTGAACAGAAAGCTGATATAGCAAATACTTTCAAGCAGAATTCTAACAGAAAGAATTATATTTTCGTGTAATCCTCTGAATCAAATTAGATCCGTCTCTAAAGTGACATTCTCACTGACTTTTAAGCTTCATAACCAGTTTTATTTAATAACTTGAAATGCACTGTTTGGAACCTCTGGTGTGGATATTACTGGCGTTTTATCCCAACACTAAAACTTTATTTTCAACACTTCGACCCTTGTTTCAATTACCAAGTGATCATCTTCAAGAGGAACATTTAACAAATTCATAACAATATTGCAAAAATAATAATCAGATATTGACCCAGTTTATGCTTCTAACATTATGTAGCAATTCCCTTGATTTTAATTTGTTCAAAAAGTTCTCAAATGAGGTGGCAAATGTAACTTATAAGAATTTCAACAAACAATCAGATGTTTTTTTACTAGGAACCCTTTCTACACTCTCGATGAGTTATTATACAGGTACATTTTCCTAACTTTTTTATGATAGTTTTATTATACTTGTGTCATCAGCAATCCTATTTATATTTTTCTTCTCATGTTCATAAACACTGTGTACCCTATCGCTGTGTATGTTCATGTATTGTGACTTGTATGTTTTCAACATAACGAAGTCAAATAAAGTATATATCTATCAATCGCATACACGGTATACTTTTAACTCAAATGTTCGAACATATCATTTTTGATGTTAGTGAAGTGAATTCAGAAATTGATAAAACTGTTTGAAAATTGAAAAATCAAATGAAGTGGATAAGATATTTCACAATTTCAGTAATCCATTGTTACGATCTTTATTCGTGTTTGAAGGCCGTCGTGTTTTGAAACTGTATCCTAACGTTTCGCCAGCATGAGTGGTTGGCTACTTCAGAGGTTCATTCATCTTGATGGTTAGTTCATCAAGATGAATAAACTTCTCAATGAAACGTTACCTCTGGCGAAACGTTATGATACAGTTCCAAATCACGACGGCCTTCAAACCTGAATGAAGATGATCGAAACAATGAAAGTCTCGGCAGCGAAAGCCTTAACGAATTTATTAATTTCAGTAATATTCAATGTTATAAGTTTGAATTCATTTTGATTCGAGGGTATGTTTTTCAATCTAGCAGAATTCTCAATATTTTTTTAACTTACTCCGGAGTTGCAAATGTGAGTAGTAGAGAGGCAACATTGAAAGACCCTCACGTAGACCCGACCACACTGGATTACAATGGAGATATTTTAGAATCAGAGGAAAAAAGAGCTTCTTCCTCGAGATCCTTTTGATGATTGCCCTTTACTTCCAGAAAGTAGGCAGCGCGTCGATGGCAGCGGTGTTTGTGATTTTTAGGGTTTTGGTAGACGTATCTGTTTTGGAGTTCCTGGAATCTTAGGTTGATAGGTGTGAATTTGACGATATCATATTGTTGAATCATCTAAAAGAACAGATGGGGCGACGACAAACCTGTTATTTGTTGTATGCTACAACTTAGTTCGAGGAATGATACTCTAAAGGAATTTGATTTTCAATTATCGGAAATCATCGACTTTATGTTAATGATATACACTACCTTGCACTGACGAGTGGCCAAACAGTCCGAAACCGGTCTGCAAGTGTGTTCCAATAATTGAAAATCTATTGCGGCAGTTGTATCGCCAACAGCATATGCAGAAATAACTTCAGTGAAGAATCCTGCACCTGTCGGATACAATCCAACGCCCTTCGTGGTATTAGCCAGGGGAGTAGTTGTTTTTTGATAGGTGTCAGTCCATTAACCTACAGTATAGGGTGTTGAGACTGACCTGAACGAATTGTTCTTTCAAATGATTTGATTTATAGCCAGTCTTCAAAGATGCCCACTGACTATATGTGAAAAATTTTCTTTCCTTATACGAGGAAATGGGCAAATTTCGGATATGCAGTTGGTTACCTCGTTCACAGGCGGATGGGGCGACGACAAAACTATTGTTTGTTGTAAGCTTCAGCTTAGTTCGAGGAATGATACTCGGAAGGAGTTTGATTTTCAATTATCAGAAATCATCGACAAACCCAAACACTGAGATTGGGAGGTGTTATTCGAATCGGAACGTTTCACTGCGCCTGTTGAACCACAAATCAAGAACTTGCTTTTCCTGGGACTTCAGCAGGTATTTTTTCTGTACGGTTCTGATAAAAGAATCATCGTAGTTCGACCAACAGTTGTAGCCGACTTGAAAAGCATCGGTTACGTAGTGTCCCATGTTGGCCTCTTTGCCGTCGTGATAAACGACGCGACGGCGAATAGCTTCTACTGCTTCTCTTCTAGACACGAAACAGGTATAGAATCAATTTTTGAATCGAACCAGATTTCAAAGTCTTGATATTCTTCGTGCAATTGTCGTGGCTGTAATCGAAAAACTTCAAATTCAATATGATGATAAGGGGAAGTTCGCAGAGTGTTACTTGCATTCACGCTTCGACCTGGCCATTCGTTTTTGAAGAAATCATCCCTTCCAATCTGCTTTTTGAGACGAATACCCAAATCGCTTCACTGACAGTCTTAACCTTCAAGATGTTGAGAGGCAGGTAGGGAGGGTGAGTGTAAGCCCACAGTACTTAGGCCACATATGACCCATTATAAATCCTCCCGAGGAGTTGTCCTCCTAGGTCATCGTCCATCCTGTCCTTTCCAGGAAGGTGGACAGATCACTGGGAAACAGCTCCTTTATATCGGCAGGTGTAGGCCAAGACTCGCCGAACACACACTCTCTTATTGACGATAACTCCGGGCACTCGCACAGGACATGCCTGATCGTCTCATCTTCCTGTTCACCAGGATCACCCAAGGTGATCCTGGCAAGATTACATCCTTCGGTTTCGTCCCATATGTTTAAGGATTGAGCATGGATGTAACACTTGACTAGTTCCGCAATTGTCGAAGTCATCAGGCCGTAGGTGCCACTGGGTCCTAAAATTCTTAGTTCAGCCGCTTCCTTGGCTGAAAAGTCGGCAATGCGATTACCTTCACTCCTGTCGTGCCCTTTAATCCACCTCAGAAAGACTGCATATTCTCAGTAATGTCATCTCCGGCACAATGTATGCTCGACTTCAGTTGCTCCTCAGAGATGTCGCTTATATGTACTGGTAAAGTTGGTACTTCGGTTCACGTATCCATCATTTCTTGATCCTATAACTTCCCACCTATCACTTGAAACATTGCCCGTAGCAGAAGGTTTTTCATCTTCAATCTAATATTCAAACAAATCCATCAACTTCAAAATTTCATCGTTGGAACCGTTCTGAAAAAACCCAAGAAAATCTTGCACATCTTGCTGTGTAACCTTGGTCCAGTCTGTCTGTATGCTATGCAACATTTTATGAATCCACGTCGGGCCGAATAGGTTGCCCGTGTTGATATAACTGCTTGGTTGTTTTTGGAAATTTACCTAGTCTCTTGTCTTTCGTCCTGATTTCAGAAGGTGAGTAGTCAAACTGCCTTACGAAACGACGCATCTCAACTATAACCAAGGTTGACTTCCACTCCTCGTTCGATCAAAATCTGCCTTTGGCTGCGAACTCACTGCCCTGTAATAGTGAGGATCCACCAAATGGACGACGTTCTGAAGCAGTTGAAGGAGCACATGAGTAAACTGTTGTTGTACTCGTTTTCAGAGGTCTGGCCAGAATCGTTTTTCTCGAAACTGCTGACGGATTCAGCGTATAGTATTTTGTGACAGTAAATTGATTTTTGAATTTACGCAGCATTATTTCTGTAAAACATTTACTATTCAAAATGGTGTACACTATATTTTAAAAGATCGATCAGCTGCATTGACTATAACTTGATATTTTCTTCACCAAACTATGCTTCAAAAGTTGATATTTATGACGGTCAGGGTGGAAGAAAAATGTTATGCACCAATTCCACTCTCAGTCCAATAAAATGGATTTATCCGGAAATAATCTGACTATAGATAGCATAATACAGTTTATTTTCAAAAGTTATCAAATAGTTTTTGTTACTTTCCATATATTTTGGACACATATATTTCTGGTT